TTGAGGTTCTAACAAATTTAAATTTAAGACTAGGAAAAATTTCAGTTTTGTTTGAATGGGTTTTTCTTTTTAAATAAAGACATGAGTTTGGGAGCATAACAAATTTATATAGAAGTTGAAGAATTGCAGAGTAAAAGATTGGTAGAATAAGAAGTTTGATATTATAGTTTGAATATTGATGCTCATGAGCTATTTGTTCAAATGTGTGTTATATATGTATGTATATATATGTACGTATATATATTATGTGATGGAAATTATTGGAAAGATATTTGAAAAGAAGGAGCTTTGTATTATAGTTAAACATTGATGCACATAAGGTGTTTTCTAAAATGTGTAAAAGAGGAATTTGATTGAGATAGAGCAATTAAGCATGTTTATATATTAATGGCTGGAATTGGATTTAGTTTGTTTAATTTCTATGTTGAAAATTTAGAAATGTATAAATAGTACTTGAATGTGTGTGTGTGTGTCTTCATTGTAGTGTAAAGTTTGGGTTAATAAAATGAAGTAATGAACCTTGACACACATCTAAAAAGGAAGAATGGTAGATTTTTTTAAGGTTTGATAATGTTTAAGACCAATGATGAGCTATGGTTATATATATATATATATATATTAGTGATTAATCTCAATGTTGATTTCTCCATAAAGAGAGTGGGTTAAGCTATTATTATTATTACTGTTGTTGTTGTTGCTATCATTATCTCTTTTATACTTTGTCACATATTTAGAATGGAAAAGTGTCTAGTGAGTTGTTTAAAGAGTAACCTTAAATAATTTAAGGAGTTTGGGTTATTAAATATCTGATGGCAATATATAAAGTAGAGTCATTGTTAAAGAGAGTTATTGTTTTCTTTTCTCCTTTTCTAGACAGTAGAGTAGCTAAAGGCTTTTGAGAGGTGCTTAGAAGGAAAAATCATTATCTTAGGAGCTTATTAGGTAAATAAATAGCATCCCAACTAATTTATCAATAAATTTTTTCAAGATTTTTTTTACATAGATCATTCAACATCAATTATATTTTGTATATTATATTTTGTTAATTAAATCATTTTTATCTTGGAAAATTATAAAGAGATGTTGAAGGATATTTGAATTATGACATGTCTATGTGTTTTCCTTATGAAGGATATTTTCAAGATTGATAAGACTATTTTTATCAACCCTAGTTATTTTTGGGTTACTCAATAAATGCCAAACATGGACATTAGTTATGAAATTTTATTTTAGTAAGTTTTTAATGCTCAAAGCTATTCATGTAAGTTTGACTTTGAGAATGGGAATTGTATTTTTATAGTAATGATTTTCTCACATATTTGAAAATGGATTTAAAGAGAATTTTATACAGGACACTGGTTGCTAATGGCAATCCCGTTAGCCCTTAGCGCACCATGGTCAATGACTAGCTAATTTGATTTTTATAAGTTTTGTTTTCATGTTTGTTATTCATAGATCTCGTACTCGCATTTGTTTTCAGGCATTCAAGCCGTGTTTAGTTAATATTATCCTCATGGACTGTGTGTCCATATTTGTTTCGTAGCTCAAGCTGCATTTGGTTACTTACTTTCGTGGACTATGTGTCCACATTTGTCTTCATGGCACAAGTCACGTTTCTTTATTTACCCTCATAGATTGTGTATATATGTTTGTGAACTGTTTTGATAAATCTCCAAATATATGAATTTTTAATTAATTAATGATTTCATACTCTAATGGCATTTAATTAGCAAACGTTATTATTTTTATTTATGTATTTATTTAATCATTTTGACTTGCCAAGATCAAATGTTAAAGTTGCTTTATCATTATAAATTTAAAGTTTCTTGATATTGAAGTTATATAGAACTTTTATTCCGAGCTTACAAATTTATTTTCATTAAACTGTTTTCTCTTTAATTTATGTATATGTTGTAGTTTATTCATTTTGATTTTGCATAACATTATGGTTAGGACGTTATTTACTGAAAAATATTTTTGGTCTTAGATAGCTTGTACCTTTGTTAGATCATTCAAGGGGTTTTGCTATTGGATTGAAATTGTGATGCCATTTTGGTTAATCTCTATTTTTTTATGTAAAAGTTTAATATATATTGTATTTTCATAAATAATGTTATAGATGCTCCACATAGGCTATGGTAAGGTCTTTATTTTGTATATATTTTGTCTGCTAGCTGGAAGGAGCTAAGCTCCTAGATGTTATAATATTTCTTTAAAAAATTGTGTTGAAAAATTTCAGGGAAATTCTATTTTCAAGGGAGATTCTGTCGAAATTTTCACAAAAATATTAAGACTTTATTTAAATAAAAAGTATTTTTTAAACTGAAACTTTTTTTGAATTAGGCTTAAGGAATGTATATTTAGATACATATCTCATATCAGACACTCATATTTCAGAATGTGACAATATATATCAAAAGTTTGACTTGCAATCTGTGTGTGAATATTTATAAATAAGGATGATATTTAAGTTATTAAATATTAAAATATTAATATTAAAATGAGATATTATTAAAAATAAAATAATCTTTTTATATAATTACTTATCAGTGTTGTCACCAAGCATGATGATATGATAATCATTTGATAGTTGTTACAGTGATTAGTCAAAATTCGACAAGAATCATTACGCTTAATACCATGTTTGGCAAGCTAGTAAGCACACCGCACACCTTACACTCTCTAGAGACATGCTTCACCCGAATATGACAATCGCTGCTCACAGACATTTGAGCACGACGAAACAGCCTCTAAGACAGTGGTCCGTATCCTCTCACTGTCGCTTTTTTCAGTGGCTTCTCAGAAACTTGTCTGCTTAAATAATCAATTGGTTCATGATATGCCATGTCACAAAGATTTTAAGAAAGAAAAATGACATTAAATTCCCAAAAAAATTAATGATATTTATATCCTGGTAAAAATTTCTGAAAAATGGGTTGTAAAAATTGGTTCAGATAATTACAAACAAGAACCTCAATAAATGAGAGTTACAATTAGAATGTAAATATTATATTTGTAATTAGAATATTTGAATTTGCAATTATTTAAATAAATATTTGCAACTAATTTTTTTTAAAAAAATTTACTGAGAATTTAACCGTCATTAATTTGTTTTTAGGATATAACCGTCATTCTACTTAGTCCTAGAAGAAGGAATTAATGATAGCTAGTTAGGTTCCTGATAATTTTTTCAAATTTGCAACTAACTAAATCAATTTACAACCAGTTTTTCAAAAGTTTTTAGCAGGGATATAAATATTATTAATTTTTTTGAAAAGACATACCTTTAAATATCTACACTTTGCTCACATTTTGCTATAGGTTCATGAACTTTTTTTTGATATTCTAGGTCTCTATACTTTTATTTTTTTGGTATTCTAGATCCTTAAATAAACAAAATGTAGGGACTTTAGAGGAATTTAAAATGTCAAAAAATAAAAGTGTAGGGACTTAAGACACAAAAAAAAATGTAGAGACTTATAACAAAATGTGAGCAAAGCATAGGGACCTAAAATTATGTTTTATTTTTAATTTTTTTTCTGAGACTTGCATGTCATTTTCCTTTTTTAAAACCCTCATGATGTGGCGCATCATGGACCAACTGATTATTCAAGTGGACAGGATTTGATGATTCTGAGAAGCAGCTGATAAAAGCGACAATGAGAGGATACGGTCCCCTAGACGTCGCCCGTGTCCAGCCACTCTTGTAAGTTTTGAAGAGCAACAATCAATTTGCACAATAATGCATTTGAGGTTCATTTGAGGCTCTATTGTAATAGATTTGATTATTTCCCACAAAAGTACATACACACACGCGAGAGAGAGACCGGGGGGGGGGGGGGAGGAAATCAATGCCTCTAACCAAGACGATATATTGCCATTTGCACTAACAAAAGTTAAGAATAGAGCTGTCCAATCTTATCCTAGCAAGTACTATGAAGCTTCTTTTAAGATTCATTAAACCAAAGTGAATTCTGAATGGCTAACGCATGCATATTTCTGTTCTGTTTGTCTGTGTGAGATCGCCAAACTTGAACTCGTGGTTTAAGCGCCGAAAGCTGGATATATGAGTTCGATGGGCCATTTATTTGTGGGGTTTGAGCTCCTTTCTTATGTAGAGAAAGGACAAATGTTAAAGCCTATTACGAGTTTCATTAACTAAAATGGAGAGAAGGTTTGTATAAGGTTAATTGAGAGAGGTCATATTCAAGTTTCATGTACAACCATTTGAGAGAGTAAGAGTGGAATATATTTCTCATATGTTCACATGATAGTCCTGGCCAATATGAGTTTGTGGATTCATTAATTGTTGGATTAAGTTGAAATATGGTCAGCTGGTTTGGAACAACTGGTTTGTCATTTTCAATTATTGGATCTTTGATTTGTTATCTATTGTGAGTATTTTTCTGTTCGCACTATAGCATCTGATTTGGGTGTTTTTCATTTTCTTTATGCTCTTTGTTGTAAGCTTGTTGTTTTTATATTTTGGCTGGTTCTTTGCATCTGTTTATACATCTACTTGAGACTCTCTTATACCCTATTTTGATTCTAGTAGAGCTGTTTTTCATTAGTCTAGATGACTCATGATTTTTACACATGCACTAAGGGGTTTTCAACATTGATAGTTTCTTATGGTGTCTCTTGTTAAATCGTGAATTGAGCTATTTATTTTGCAACATATATTTGTTTAATTTCTTCTGCTATGAGATTCTAACAAGTGATAAGAAATAATTTTCGCTGCATTTAAATCATGGAATTGTGTTATTCTCATAATTATTAATTGTGGAAACTTCCGAACCATATTTAATATTTGAATTAATCTATGAGCTTGTGAAAAATATTGAACGTCTGAAAAAATGGAGAGCTCTCTTACGAAGAAGTTGAAATCAAACTAAAAGAAAGCTAACAATTAGGATCATCAATTCAAAGATTGAATATGCATGGCTCAAACATGATTTGCGTTAGGCATTTAATATCTGATTAATTACTAGGGGCAACATTTATGAGATAGCTTCAACACCATGCAACGCCTCCACCACATGGTTCATAGAAGGACGAAGTGTGGGATAATCTTCCAAGCATTGGAGAATGAGCTGAGCTATTTGGAATGCCGCATCGAGTGAGTATTGACCTTCAATCCTGAAATCAATTATCGTTTTTAATTTTCTTTTATGAGAGAGACATGGCTTAGCCCACTTAACCAAATTTCTCTGCCTATCTGGCCGCTTCAGATCATGTGCTCTCAAACCTGACAGCATTTCAAGAAGCACTACACCATATCCGTACACATTGCTCTTCACATTCAAGCGCCCTGTTCAATGATGGTATATATTATAGTCAATAGTATATGATGGCCAGGAATTTCTCAAGCATATAGGGAAAGGGACAAATAAATCATCCCAAAAATAAGCAAATGAGAAAATAATACTACGAAATGGTGGGCTGTGTGTGTCTATATATATAATTCTTTCGTCTTAAATTATAAGACATTTTAATGTTAGACAAAATCTCATATATCAAAAATACCTTTCATTTAATAACTTTAAATCTACACTTAATGTATATTATGCTGAAAAAAAAAGTCTAGCTTACATGGTTTACACATGTCGGTTTTTATTTTAAATTTTCACTGGAAAATTTTTTAAATAATTAAAATAGATCATGCTAAATAGATAAATGTGAAAAAAAATGTACTTACGTGGACATATATATATATATATATATATATTTACCAGAATGAATATATTCTGGCGCAGCATGACTTGACACATGGATCGCGGCATTATTCAAATGCGATTCCTCTCCTATATGCCCAAATTTGGCCAAGCCAAAGTCACAAATTTTTGCACTGTAACTCTGTATAAGAGACAAGAGAACCAGTTAATCAATATGACATGTGCCATCAAGTATGTATAATAATATATCCAATACAGTTTGAGAGTTAATTACATTTTAATTTCGATTTATTTTTAGAAATTTTGTTTGGACACCTAATTTTCATAAATTTAAACTTTTGAGACTTTATTGCCATTCTCTAAAGGCATGTTTTTACAGTACTTCAACCAATACTTTAACCATACATCATGAGGTTTCCATATATATATATATATATATATATATATAGCATAAGATTGTGAAACAACTAAGGGAATATAAGCTTACCATTCATTCCTAGATAATATTACCTCTATACTAATTTATAAGACATTTTTATTCAAAATTATGCATATCAATAAAGTTCATTAAATACACTTCACAATAATATTTTTTTCAAAATAAAAATATGAACACCCGACAATCCCCTTAATTTAATATTCCATTTGTGAAGGAATATTGTAGAAAGAAAGAGAGAATATAATAGAAAGGTTAATATTGAGAAAGCATTATTAATAAAAATTTATTTATGTCAAAATATCTTATATTTTGAAACATTGAATCTCTACCAAAAAATACCTTATATAAATTAGGATGAATACTTATTGATAAACAAGCTTGAATAATGGACTATTGTTAATTCAGAATAAATTATTGTTAAAATTTGAATTAAATTAATAAGTATTTATTCAGGTTTTGACTATATTTAGTCTTTGACTTATATAAATTTCGATCAGTGGTTCTTGATTGTTATTTTCCTATTTAAAGATGATGAGTAGCGAAAATTAACTAACCTCATCAAGTAGAATATTTGAGGTATCAAAGTTTTTTAAAATGATTTGATTTTCTGAGGCGTGCAAGTAAGCCAAGCCCTCTGCAACATCAATAGCTATCTTGACCCGTGTATTCCAATATAATAGTTCATTACTAGGAATCCCTGCTCAGACAAAAAAATGAACAGAGAGAGAATTAAATCCCATATATCCAAGGCCAGGTAATTTATGATTGGTTCATTAATTAATTTGATTTCATGCCATACTTAGCTTCTAAAAAGATGATTTTCCAAGTTTCCCTTAGGCACGAACTCGTAGACAAGAAGAATCACCCTATCTTCCAGACAATAACCTAATAGCTTGACTATGTTTGGATGAGAAAGGGTCTCCAAAAACTTCACTTTTGACTGCATCACACAGAAGATCAAATTAAATCAACAATTTGAACATTTTAAAATTCCAAATTATTATAAATGAAAAAACAATTTTGGGAACATTATACCTGAAAAGCAAAGATTTGGGGCTTGTTTGGTTTTGTTAACTTAAAAATAGTCTGAGAATTAAAAAATTGGCTGATAATGAATGTCGTTGGTGACTTATGATAGCAATTGGTTTAGCTAATGGTAATTTTCAATACTCAAATGTGATGTACTTTGAAAAGAAGAAAAATAAAAGAAAAACAATTTTAAAATGTTTCTATTAATTAATGGGAACAGTTTTGGAAACAATTAAATCCAAAATATTTATCCAAACAAGTTTTTAGATTTTTTGTTTTCAAAACAGGGAAAAAAAAACAGACCCCAAGAAGGTCCAAATATATACCTGCCACTCTTGAAAGTACTCTTGCAGATTCTCGGATCTGAGTGTCTTGACAGCAACCTTGATTCTGTTGCCAACATTATCAGTTGGTGAAAATGTTTTCTCATCCAACCAACCTTTGTAAACTTTACCAAATGTACCCTCTCCAAGCAATAAGTCTGGTTTGAAGTTCTTTGTGGCTGCTTTTAAATCCCTTAAACTAAACACCTTCAAGTGATAATTAGTCTCCACATGCCGATTAGGAGAAGCATTAATGGACTTGTTCTCACTTCCAGTGATATTTGTAGCGGTTGATTCTACAAAATGAAAGTGAAAATGAAATTCTGGCTAACATGCATGTTTTTTAAACAGGTATATATAAACCATGGTGGGTTCTAAACTAAACATTCAAATTGATGACCAAACCAATGAGATTATATATGATACTTCCTTCGTTCCTATTTATGAGCAATTCTGTAAGAGCTATAAAGCATATAAAAATAATAATTTTTAATTGGGTTGAATTCATTCTACAGCTAATCATCATATTGAATCCGCCGTTCTATCATTTAACATCTAAAGTTGGTGTGAGCGACGGAGCGGTAGTGAGTCATGTTATTTAAGCAAGTGGTTCAGACTTTAAACCTGCCATCCCTTATATATATGTGGTAATTTAGTTGGGAGAGATTATTGATTTTGCTTTGTACTTTTGGAAAATATTTTATACTCTTGGTGGAGCCTATTCATTTTGCTTTGTACTTTGGAAAAATATTTTATACTCTTGGTGGAGCCTACTTCGTTTACTTATAGAAAACATTTTTCCCCCTAATAGAGACCTAGGTATTGATATTGTGGAGCGATTAATTATGAAGAGATACATTTAATTAAGGGTATTTGAGGAAATTAAATATGTAGCATATTTGAGAGTATTGATTAATTTTAACTAATTTCTTTTGTTTGTGTGAATTGATAAAAAAAGTGACTTATATATATATATATATATATATATAGAAACATGTACTAAAGACATATTCCCTCCGGTCTCTGTTATAGATGTTTTAAACTATTTCACAGGAATCCAGAAATGACAGTTAATTCATTAAATATGTTTTAAAATGCAAAAAAGTGCCTTACCCGTATTTGAAATAGGAAGTGAGAGATATGTACAACATATGATGAATCATAAAATTAAACTTAGAAATAAATAATGTTTCATGTGCCTTATATTAAGTATCTAACCCCTATACAAATAATTATAAAACTAAGGTGCTTGTTATAAAAAAAAATTAGGTACTTAATTAATGTATTTTCTTGAATCAAATCAAAATAATTGGATTTTATTTTTTTTTTAAAAAAAGCTAAAAATATCAACATGAGCTGGTCAATTATAAGGAAAAAGTGGTGGCTTAAAATTCGTGTGAATGTAGAAACATTTTTGGGAGAGCTATTTCAATGGAGCTCGACAATATTCATTTCTAAATCATTCAAATAATCATGTAAAAAACTATCTAATTATGCTGAAAAAAACATTGTGTATATAAGTTAAAATATTTAAAATTTTATTTATTATTATTATTATTTAGTTTTAAATTACTTAAATTAATAATATTTTTTTTACTTCAAAAACATGGCTCCCCTTAAATATGAAATTAAATCCATGGCCATGATAATTTACCGAAAGTGGGAGAATTTATGGAGCTAGTCTCAAGCTGACCGCGAGCAAGAGAGCCAGAGCAGAGACCCATATCAACTAAGTCAAAAGAATAGCTAGCATTAATAATATGTAAAGAAAAAAAATTAGCATAGACGAAGAAGGCAGATGATTAAAATTTGTAAACTAGAGGATAAAGACAAACTAGAGGATATCCATTTTTATTTTTTTTATCATACTGTAAAATTGATTAATTTTATAATGTATAGATTTTAACATACCTTTATTTTAACTTATTCCCAAAAAATACTTCAAAATTTCAATGAAAAGTTTTGCAATTAATTTACAATGACCTGTATATATACAATATTTATGTTTGGGTCAGAACTCTGCCTCTGAAAGTGATCTGTGGGAGAGATGTGCGTGCGTGCGTACGTGTGTGTGCGCGTGATTACCTGTAATAGAAGGAGAAGGAAATAATTCATAAGTTGAATAAGAGAGCTTGAATCAGAATTTTGAATATCAAGGATAGAGGAAGGGAAGTAGAAGAATTTCATTGAACAAACCTTGGGGTTGAATAGTTGAGCCGAAGTGTCGTATATAAGTTAAGGAGGTTGAAGATGTGCCAAATTACTGAAAGTAAAAGCAGGAGACTAGTTAAACGCAGGAGAGAAACAAACAGAGAGAAATGCAGAGAGGTACGAAGCTGTGTGTTTTGTTGCAGAAGATGGTGAGGGAAAGAGAGAAAGGAGATGGGCAATGCTAGCGGTAGACGTGTTATTATACCTCAAATGGAATTTTGAATTATAACCTCATCGGCCAAGAGGAAGAGGATGATGCTAAAGAGAGAGAAAGACACATGAGGATTATGGAGGATCAGATGAGGAAGAAGAAGGAGGGTTTAAGGCAAGTTTCTTTTATTTTGTGTACTGTGAGAGCATCATAAGCTGGAAGTGGAAAATAGAAAGACTACTTTCTTAAGAAATAGGTTAATTATGCAGTCCTGAATTTACAACTCTTCCTTCCTTGATTTTCTGTGCTAAAAATGGATTTTATTTTTAATAAAATATATCATTTGAAAAAAAATTTGAAAACCATGTTGTCTTTAGCTTGTTTTTATTAAATATTCTTACCAACTCAACCTGATCAATTAATTAAAACCTAATATGACTTTTTGAATATCAGTGATTTGATAAAAAAATCATTTAAAAAAATGCTTGTTCATGTAACAATAAATTATAAAATAATATATGTATTTATTTAAATTATAATCCTTCTACTTAAAATTATAATATATTTTTTTAGGTTAGATATTCAAAAATATAAAGTATTTTTAGTTTTTTAAAACGTATTCCATGAATTTGTTTTCAAAAGTAATGCCAAAAATAAATAAATCATTTAACTCTATACCTTTAAGAAAACTGTTCTATTAAACAGAGATAAATATAAAATGATGATATCAATTTAAAAACAATCAACTAATTTATTGATAATACAATTTGGTTGAAATTGTTTCATATTTTAACTGAGGGAGAACACTTATATATATATATATATATATATATATATATATTAAGTGTTTGATAATTTATAGATGAGAAAAAATGGTATTCGAAGGTTTTATAAAGTACATAAAACTATCACTAAAAATAAAAAAAATTAAAATTTTCAAACATTATAGAAATTAATTACTATCACACTTCTCAAAGCTATTATTCATGTCTTAGATTAAAATCTTATTTTTTATATCTTTAATAAATGTTTTCATTTACATGTAGGAAGTTTAAAACATTTTTTCATATATTCTCTCTATTCAATATTATAAGATATTTATAAACAAATCATTCCCAATAAATTATTCATTTATTTTTAAATTACATATCTTTTTCATCTTTGTCTCAACTAGATGGAGATGATAAGAGTGTTCAATTACATATGACAAGTCTTATCCACCAAGTAACTTCTACAAGCCTATATATATATATATATATATATATATATATATGCCTCTACTTGACGTACATTGCCTCTACTAGCTGGTTTCTTTTAGAAAAAAATATTAAGCCACTATTATGCAGCAGAGCCTAGCCGATATATGGTGGTGAAAAGTAACAAGCATCCACATTGATGAACTTCTTGTTTAATTTCCTGGTCCCTCTCTCTCTCTCTCATCATGTACGTCATCTTCTTAATTCCACTAATACTACTTTTCTTTATTTTTCTTTCTATCACTAGTTTACTATTAGCCTCATGCCATTCTAATTTCTCAACATTAATTCATTTACCTACTCCCTTTGTTCAAAAATAATAAAATATTTTTAATTAAATTTTACCTCCCAATAAAATAGTTATTTACTTTTAAACTAACTCTAACTTTTTATATTTATCTCTATTAAATACTCTATAATAAATATCAAGTCATTATTAATAGGAATACTTAAAAAAAAAAGCAATAATTACACTTTGAAAAACTAAAAATGCCTTACATTTTTTAACATTCAACTCCTCAAAAAATGCCTTAAATTTTTAAACGAAGGGAGTATTACTTAGTTAAAGACACATTTCCAAAAATAATTAAAATGTGCACTTTCATGTACAACTGATTGTGGATCTATATATACTAAATATAAATCCACTTTAATTAATTTGCACTAATTCATTCATCTATTACTTAAATTGCATTAATTCATCTCGTCACCACAAAGTTACTGTGTTAACAATTAAATGAATGCATGGGTCCAGTTGTTACAAAGAACATAATCCATGAAATATAGCTTGAACTAAGAACTCACGTTCAAAGGCACAATACTGTAATTGCTACATTTGGGAAAATGCTAATTTTCTGCTATTCGTACTATTTTCTATCATTCAACATTGATTGCTTCATTTGTGAACTTAAGAGACTTGGGTTGCTTACTAGAATCATCACAACCCTTAGATTGGATGGGAGAAATAGAGAATAAAGAAAACTAGGAGAGACTCCCAAAAACAGTAAGAAAAATTACTATTTCTGAAAATTTCTCCTCTTAATTATCTTTCTCTTCACTAGTTTCTTCCTAATTTTTTCTCCATCCAAATTAAGCGTAAGTATTTATATATGGTATTTCTTGCAAATGACATTGGCACCTTAAATTTATAATTATTTCTTAATATTATACTCCCTCAGTTCCTCTATCTTGATTTATATATAAGATAATTTTTAATAAAATTTCACATACTAATAAAACTTATTAAATATACTTTACTATCTTTTTTTAAAAAATTTAAATATAAACTTTTAAAAATTTTATTTATTTAATACTATATTTATGAAAGATATTCAATAAAAAATATATAATAAAAAGAATAATATTGAAGAATTGTCATTAATAAATTTTATTTTTATTGAAGTGTTTTATATTTTAAATTAATTCCAATCGAATCTTTCCAAAAATTTTATAATTTGGGACGGTGATAACATTACCCTGTTTATATATATATATATATATATATATGCATGCTTTTACAATTGTAACTATTTTTTATTTTCATAAAAAAGGATAGAATTTTTTTATAAACATCACATCAGCCTCGGGGTTGCCTCCCCCAATTTGATTGATTCTTTGAAAAAATTTTGGAAATATTTTTATTTTATTTGTAAAAAAAAATGTTAACATTAATGTTATCTCCTCATGTGTCAAGTAGCTTTATTTTTGTCCCCCATATATTTCTTTTTGGATTCATCGTAGCTTGCATCAACCTAGTTCCTATTAGAGCCTTGTCCACGTAATTTCTATATTTGATTATGTAGTCAAAAATTCTTCGTGAAGTATTCAAACTTTCAAAGTCTCCCCTATATATAGGCTATAGCCTAGCGAACACTTGTGAGTGAAAATTAAAACCGAACATCAATGGGTTCTTCTAAATCTGAGCTTTGGTCACGAATTTAGAAGTGGCCCACTTACATAAAACAAAATTTAGATCTTTCTTCATTTGGAAAGCAGCTTTGGATTATCTCTAAACCTTTTTTTTTTTTGGACGGGGATTATCTCTAAACTAAATTTGTCATCATATAATTAAGGCTGCGTTATTTCAGTATTTGCCAAATGATTTGTCCTTTTCCTGCAACTTTCTCGATCCCATATATCTTTATATTCTTTCATTACAATAATTATTCCACTTTCCTTATATTATCCCACATATCATTCCAATTCCAAATCAAACAAGGATGCCAGATAGAGTGTGATCATCCACCTCCGCTGTACGATCTCCTTTCACATGAAAATAAAAGTTTATTTCGTTATCACACTCCATTTATTTCCCTTTTGTTGATTTGAAATTGGAATCGACCAATGATGAATTTGGAAAGAGGATAAAGATGTAATCCCAAAAGATTTTTAATTAAAAGTGTGTGTATGATAGGAGGGAGGGGGGGAGATAGCAATTGATAACGAAAGAAACAATTTTTTTTTTTTTTTGTGAAAGGAGATCGTACAGTGGAGGTCGATGATCATACTCAATCTGGCATCCTTGTTTGATTTGGAATTGGAATCATATGTGGGATAATATAACGAAACTGGAATAATTATTGCAATGAAAGAATATAAAGATATATGGTATCGAGGAAGTTGCAGCGAAAAGGACAAATCCTTTGGCAAATACTGAAATAACGCAGTCTTATATGACGACAAATTTAGTTTAGAGATAATCCAAAGCTGCTTTACAAATGAAGAATGATATAATTTTTGTTTTAAGGGTTATTTCCAAAGTCATGACCAAACCTCCGATTCAGAAGAGCCCCTTGATGTTCAGCTTTAATTTTCACTCACATATCCACATAACATACAGGCGAGACTTTGAAAGTCTGAATACTTCAGGAAGAATTTTTGACTACATAATCAAACATAGAAATTACGTGGACGAGTATCTAATTAGAGGAACTAGGTTGATGCAGGGATCAATCCAGAAAGAAACATATGGGGGACAAAAATAAAAACTACTTAAATATGAGGGCCTCAATTAATTTTCACATTTTTTTATAAGTAACATAAAAAAATTTCCAAAACTTTTCAAACAATCAATCAAATTGTGGGGGCAACCCCTAGGTTGATGTGA